TTCAATTTCTGATTCATAGTTTTTTTATATCCATAATTGTTTAATTATATTTAATTTACCTTACTGTATTTTATTACAATTTGCTTCTTATTTTGGGGGGGACTGAGGCAAGATTGTTTTGTTGTGTTTTCAACTCCTGAAAAGTCTTGATTTTCATTTTATGTTGAAAAATGTATAGTAACATATGAATATTGAGTTTGCTTTTATTTTTATTGTTTATATGTTTGGTTTTGTTGTATTTTCCTGGACCAGTGCCTCAGGTCAACAGTTTCTTCTTTTATTCACATAGTGAAATGCAGTTTTTTAAAATTAAAGGTACTTTTCTTGGACTGCCTTTCTCAAAATGTTTTCTTAATATATAATTTTATAGGGCTCTTACTTTCAGCCACTTCCTTCTTCTCTTTACCACCAAACCTCCAAGGGGCATTTCACATTTCATGGTTCCTTCTTCATCCCAGGAACAGTGCCTTCTCTATGCTACCTCCTGTGATTAAGTGAACTTCCCAAGATCTTGTGTTTAAAATAACCAAAAGTTAGTGCTTCGAACTGCTGAGTCTTATATTCGCTCAGTGCTTTTTCACTCAGGCTGAGGTCCTTTCCTTCTGGAAACAAGACTCTAGAAGCTGTATGTGTTTCACCATATTAAAATCACACTTCATATTTAACCCTTTCTGCAGTCCCAGACTGATTCTTTGCATAGATGTCTCAAGAGCACTTTGCTGACATCTGATGTTTATTTACCTACATAAAAGAAAAGGCACGATGGCTCAGCCTGTAATCCCAGTACTTTGGGAGGCCGAGGTGAGTGGATTGCCTGAGCCTGAGGGTTCAAGACCAGCCTGGGCAACTTGGCGGGACCTCGTTTCTACAATAAACAAATAAATAAGCCGGGCATGGAAGCGCTCACCTGTAGTTCCAGCTACTTGGAAGGCTGAGGTGGAAGGATCGCCAGGGCCCTGCAGGTCGAATCTGGGGTGGCTGTGAGTGTGCCACTGCACTCCAGCCTGGATGACAGCCTGTAGTCTTACAACTCAAAAAAAAAAAAAAGAAAAAAGAAAGAAAGAAAATGGATATTTGTATTATTCTCTGTTCCCTAGTTACATTGTAGACATAAATAATAGGTGATTTTTTTTTTTCTCTGTTGGCAGTTTTCAGGAATTGCTTTTAGAAGGATATCTTTCTTCTGTGGCACCCTGTTAACATTTAAGATAATAAGTGTCACCAGCCTGAATTTTATCAGCTGTTTGAATTTTTTCTTTTTAGCAAATGATATATACTATGAATGAATGTTAAAATAACTAAAAAGAATTGCCTATATTTAAATACATGAATCTACAGTTTTTCCTGTTAAATACTTTTTAATGAACACTCACTTCATCCTTACTAGATGGTCCCTTCAGATCAGTGCCCTCTTTGAAAATAGTGAAGGGACAGAAGAAGCAAGGTCATTAAAAATGTATATCACTTCTACTGTCCCACTGTACAAAACATTTTTATTCCAAACATCTCAACAAGGACCAAAATGCCTTTTTGTAAATTCTATACACAGAAATACAGGCATACTTCAGAGATACTAGCATCTGGTCCGTGACCACTGCAATAAAAGTATCACAGTAAAGTGAGTCACATGAATTGTTTGGTTTCCCAGGGCATATAAAAATTATGCTTACACTATACTGTAATCTGTTAAGTGTGCAATAACATTATGTCTAAAATGTATATATCTTAATAAAAATACCTTATTGTTAAAAATGCTTGCAATCATCTGAGCCTTCAGCAAGTTGCAATCTTTTTTCTGGTAGAGGATCTTATCTTGAATTGGTGGCTGCTGACTAATGAGGGTGGTGGTTGCTGAAGGATGAGGTGGCTTAAGACAACAGTGAAGTTTGTCGCATTGATTGACTTTTTCACTCAAGAAAGATTTCTCTGTAGTATATAATGCTGTTTGGTAGCATTTTATCCACAGTAGAATGTCTTTCAAAGTTGGAGTCAATCCTCTCAAACCCTGTTACTGCTTTATCAACTAACTTTATGTAATATTCTAAATTTTTTGTCATTGCAACCGTGTTCACAGCATCTTCACCAGGAGTAGATTTTATCTCAGAAACCACTTGCCTTAGTCATCTTAAGAAGTGACTTCTCATTCGTTAAAGTTTTATCATGAAATGCAGCAATTCAGTTACATTTTCAGACTCTACTTCTAATTTTAGTTTTCTTGCTATTTCTACCACATCTGCAGTTACATTCGCCACTGAAGTCTTAACCCCCTCAGAGTCATTCATGAGTTGGAATAACTTCTTACTTTGGCATCTTCCCATGAATCATGAATATTCTCTTTTTTTTTGAGAAAGCAGGATTTATTGAGAGGACAGAAAAGCTCCCACAGTGGGAGGGTTCCCGAGGAGGCTGCTCATGAATATTCTTAATGGCACTAGAATGGTGAATCCTTTCCAGAAGGTTATCAGTTTATTTTGCCCAGATCCATTAGAGGAATCACTATTTATGGCAGCTATAGCTTTACAAGATGTGCTTCTTAAATAATAAGACTTAAAAGTCAAAATTACTCCATGATACAGAGTGGATATTATGATAGCAGGTATGAAGACAACATTCATCTCCTTGTACATCTCCATCAGAACTCCTGGGTGATCAGGTACCTTGTTAATGAGCAGTAATATTTTTTTTTTTTAAATTTAAAATATGATGTATTATTCTTTTAAAAATTTATTTTGTTTTAAAGATGTAGGGTACAATTCAAGATTAGGTATATAAGTAGTCATCGTATGGGTAAAGTTTGGGCCTCCCTTTGATCCCCGCTTTGCCTGGTTTGAGATCAGGTACCCTTATTAATGTTATGTGCTCTCCCCTCCCCGCTGGCAGTTTCTGGCTACTTCCAATCCCTTTCTTATAGTATTATGGTAAATGTTCAGGGTCCACTTATGAGTGAGAACATATGGTATTCAGTTTTATGTTTCTGTGATTAATCACTGAGCATTATAGATTCTAAATCCATCCAAGTAACTGCGAAGTCCATAATTTTGTTCTTCTTTATGGCTGCATAATATTCCATCATGTATATTTACTACTTTTTTAATCCATTCCAGTTTTGATGGGCATGTTTTTGCTACTGTAAATAGTCTTGCAATAAACATGCATGTGCAGGTATCTTTTTTGTAGAGTGATTTTAAGTTCCTCTGGGTATACTTCCAGAAGGGAGATTGCTAGGTCATATGGAAGGTCAATTTCTAGTTCTTTTAGGAAGTGCCATACTGTTTTCCATTGATATTGAACTAGTTTGCATTCCCACCACCAGTGTAGAAGCGTTTCCTTTTCTCTGCATCCTTGCCAGCATCTGTTGTTTTTTGTTTTATTAATGATGGCCTTTCTTACTGGAATTAGCTGGTATCTCAGTGTGGTTTTGATTTGCATTTCTCTGATGATTAGTGAGGCTGAGCACTCTTCCATGTGTCTGTTGCCTGCCCATATATCTTCTTTTGAGAAGTGTCTATTCATGTCTTTTGCCCATTTTTAATGGGCTGTTTGTTTTGTTTGAGCAGTAATATTTTTAAAGAACTCTTTAATCTTTTTTTTTCTGAGTAGTAGATCTCAACATTGGGCCTAAAATATTCAATAAATCATGCTGCAAACAGATGTGCTGTCATTCATTGGAGGCTTTGTTCAATTCCTAGAACACAGACAGAGCAGATTTAGCATGATTATTAAGGGACCTAGGATTTTCAAAATGGCAAATGACCAATGACTTCAACTTCAAAGTCATCAGCTGCATTAGCCGCTAACAAGAAAGTCCATCTGTCCTTTGAAGTTTTGAAGCCAGTCATTGATTTCTTCTCTCTAGCTATGAAAGTCCTAGATGGCACCTTTATCCAGTAGAAGGCAGTTTCATCTACATTGAAAATCTGTTGTTTAGTTAGCCATTTTTATCAGTGATCTTAGCTTGATTTTCTGGATAATTTGTGGCAGCTTCTATATCAGCACTTGCTGCTTCGCCTTGCATTTTTATGTTGAAGAGACAGCTTCTTTCCTTAACCCCCATGAACCAACTTCTGCTAGCTTCAAATCTTTCTTTTGCAGCTTACTCACCTTTCTCAGTCCTCAAATAATTGAAGAGAACTGAAGAGAGTTAAACTTTGCTCTGGATTCGGCTTTGGCTTACTGGAATGTTGTGGTTGGTTTGATCTTCTATTAGGCCATGTAAACTTTCTCCACATCAGCAACAAGGAAGTTTTGCTTTCTTATCATTCATGTGTTCACTGGAGTAGCACTTTCCTTTGCATTTACAGCTTGATTGTTTGAGGCAAGAGGCCGATCTCAGCTTTCGACATACCTTCCTCACTGAGCTTAATTATTTCTAGCTTTTGACTTAAAATGAGAGGTGTGCAACTGTTATTTCACTTGAACACTTAGAGGCCATTGTAGAGTTATTAATCAGCCTAATTTTCATATTGTCGTATCTTAGGGAATAGGGAGGCCCCAGGAAAGGGGAAGAGATGGAGGAATGGATGCTCAGTGGAGTGGAGCAGTCAGAGCACACACAACATGTATTCATGTATTGGTTAAGTTTGCTGTCTTATATGGGCACAGTTTCTGGTGCCCCAAGATAATTAGGATAGTAACATCAAAGATCACTGATCACAGATCTCCATAACAGATATAATAACAATATAATATGAAGATTGTTAAAATGTGACACAGAGATACAAAGAGAACACATGCTATTGAAAAAATAGTGCTGATAGACTTGCAGCATTGCCACAGACCTTCAATTTGTGAAAAATGCAATGTCTGTGAAGAGTAATAAAATGAGATATGCCTGTATTTGGGGTTTAATCTACCATTTTCCTAAGTGCTATTTTTTTCACCTGCTCTTGTTTCTTTGTTCCTTGTCTTCTTTCAACTTCTTTTAACTTTTATTATTTCATATTCTCATTCTACTAACTTGGAGGTTATAAATTCTTACTGGGGCTCGCCGTCCTTTCCAGACTCCGTCGTCGGAAAGCCCCCCGTTCCTGTTTCCCTTTCCTCTTCCCTTTCCCGGCTACAGTCCTCCCTCCTTCTTTCCCTTCTGTCCACCTCCCATTTTTCTACTGCCACCTCGGGTCTGGGCCATTTTCCAGGCCGGGCGCACTTCGGTGCGCGGCCCCGGGGCCCAATATATGACCCACAGTCCTGCGACCCCTTGTTTCCCCCGCCCCATGTGGCTGCGGGGTTGCAGCGGTGCTGCCCACTATGGCTCAGGGAAGCGCCCGCCTCCTTGGGAGCTGGGAGCAACGCTCAGGGCTTGCAGCATGGCTGGGATCACTCACTTCATAGAAGGAAAAGACTCCCTCCAGTGAAGAGATCCTTGGTGTACTATCTGAAGAATCGGGAAGTCAGGTTCCATAATGAAACCAACTACTCTGGAGTGTTGCATGGTTATGCAGCACAGCAGCTTCCCAGTCTCCTGAAGGAAAGAGAGTTTCACCTTGGGACCCTTAACAAAGTGTTTGCATCTCAGTGGTTAAATCATAGACAAGTGGTGTGTGGCACAAAATGCCACACGCTATTGGTAGTGGATGTCGACACAAGCCAGATCACCAAGATCCCCATTCTGAAAGACCGGGAACCCAGCAGGGCTGTGGTATCCATGCCATAGAGCTGAATCCATCTAGAACACTGCTAGCCATTGGAGGAGACAACCCTAACAGTCTTGCCATCTATGGACTGCCTACACTAGATCCTGTGTGTGTGGGAGATGATGGACACAAGGACTGGATCTTTTCCATTGCATGGATCAATGACACCATGGCTGTATTTGGTTCATGTCATGGTTCTATGGGACTCTGGGAAGAGACAGATGATGTGTTGACCCAAAGTGTTGCAAGACACAATGTGTCACGGGTTCCTGTGTATGCACACATCACTCACAAGGCCTTAAAGGATATCCCCAAGGAGGAAACAAACCCTGATAACTGCAAGGTCCGGGCCCTAGCCTTCAATAACAAGAACAAGGAATTGGGAGCAGTATCTTTGGATGGCTACTTTCATCTCTGGAAAGCTGAAAATACACCGGCTAAGCTCCTCTCTACCAAACTGACATATTGCCGTGAGAATGTGTATCTAGCCTATGGTAGTGAATGGTCAGTGTATGCAGTGGGCTCCCAAGCTCATGTCTCCTTCTTGGATGCACGGCAGCCATCATACAACGTCAAGTCTGTCTGCTCCAGGGAGTGAGGCAGTGGAATCCGGTCAGTGAGTTTCTATGAGCACATCATCACTGTGGGAACAGGGCAGGGCTCCCTGCTGTTCTATGACATCCGAGCTCAGAGATTTCTGGAAGAGAGGCTCTCAGCTTGTAATGGGTCCAAGCCCAGACTAGCAGGGGAGAATCTGAAACTAACCACTGGCAAAGGCTGGCTGAATCATGATGAAACCTGGAGAAATTACTTTTCGGACATTGATTTCTTCCCCAATGCTGTTTACATGCACTGCTATGACTCGTTTGGGACGAAACTCTTTGTGGCAGGAGGTCCCCTCCCTTCAGGGCTCCATGGAAACTATGCTGGCCTCTGGAGTTAACGACAATTAACTCTCTTCCAAAATGCAGAGATTTACACTAACTTCCATCCTTAGTTTCCTTGTTTCTTTTCATTTTTTTTTCCAATTGTGTGAGGCTCTCGTATTTTAGAGGGAACACCAAAGTTTGCCTATGGTTTAGGCACTTGGTAAGACGAAGCTCTGTACAGAAATCTGAAGGTTGTTGTTTTTCTTTTTTCCCTTTTGGTAATCAGAATTTTGCTGTATTTTTTTCTTTCTGGGTTTTCAGCCAAACATTGTTCCTAATCCCTATTTGTATTTTTTCTTTAAGTGACACACACTTTCCCCTCTACGGCTTCTTTAGACTGAAATAACACGGTCATTCTCACCCTTACTTCATTCTTGAGAGGTAGGGCTCCTTTATTATTATATGGTTGCTGTCAGACTTTCTGTGAAAGTTTGGGAGCCATGTGTGTGTGTGCGCATGTGAACTTGTGTACCTGTAGGTACTGTGTGTCACTGAAATTACCTGGAGTGAAGAGTACTTGTAACTTGAATATTTATAAAAGAAACAACTTTATTCACAGAGTCCAGCTTTGGGACTAGTCTGTAACTTGTTTTTTAAAAGTCTAACAACATGGATAATAGGAAGTAAAAGCAAAGAAAAAAAATCATCACTAAGGAATACCTTTGCATTAGATTGCAGGCTTCCTGGGTCCTCCCATGCCAGGACTCCGAAGTGATCCAGCCCTACTTGTCTTCCTACCTGTGTGTCCCTCAGGTGGGAAGGACCTGTCACTTCTTCCTGATTTCCCATCTGCCTAGCCAGCAGCCACTCCCCTAAAACATCAGCATATCCATCCAGATGCAGCTCTTGAAGCTGCAGAAAGCTTTATGGGACTTAGTAAAGAGAATCCTCATCCCTCCCCTCTAGACTTTATCAGGTATTTCAGGGACCTGGAGCTGGATTTTTTAAGTCTGCTAAGATTCACATACGTAGTCCCCTTGGCTTTGAGGAGAAACTTCTCCATTGCCATTCTTTTAATCTCCCGGTGGGTTTTGCTCTTATTTTCTAAGTTGGGTTCAGTCCAAGAGGGTGGGGGTAAGCAGGGGGTTTATCTGTGTGTAGTGAGAGCTTCATGTGTGAATTATTCATTTTCTCAATGCAGTGGACTTAGGGTTGAAGCCATCACCCCTGCTCTGCTGGCTCAGCCCTGGGATGGTGATGACTGACCTGCAGCCAGCATTATCGTGCATGTAACAGCATCAGTGTGATTAGCAATTTGTTTCTCCTTTGAACTGTCTGTTTAGTTTGAGGTTTTTAAACTTGCAGGCAACTGAATGACTGTGATGTCCACTTCTTACCTGCTTTTTATACATCATGTCAAAGATAACAGTTGTTTCCACCCACAAATTCCTCCAAGCATATAAACTCTGATTTTTTGTCAACATCACATTCTGGAGAAAGGAAAAGTCGTATTTGCTCCTGCACCTCAGTTGCTTAGTTGCTGCCTCAGTTATCCCCCTCTTCGCTGGGTATAAGTGAGGAAACTGGAAAAAAAGTGTCCGGCTCTTGATGGTTGGGGGAGGCTGCTGGGGAGGGGAGACGGCAAGTCCACCCTAACTTGGTGTTACCCGGCACACACCACAGGTTCTGGAATTCTCATCTTTGAACCTAGAGTAATAGGTGTTATAAACAGGGAATTAAGCAAAATGCTGGATGCTATAGATCTTTTAATTGTCTTAATTTTTTTCTATTATTAAACTACAGGCTGTAGATTTCTTAGTTCTCACAGAACTTCTGTCATTTTAAACTGACTTGTATGTTAAAAACAAAAAAATCTTAAGTAGAATGTTTTGTACTGTTGCCAGACCCTCTTCTGTGATGGGTAACGCATTTGATTGTTTGAGATTTTCTGTTTTTAAAAATGTAGCACTTGACTTTTTGCCAAGAAAAAAAGTATATATTATTCCAGTGCAAAAAAAAAAAAAAAAAAAATCTTACTGGGCTTTACGTGATCCCCCCCAAGAAATTAAGACACTTATTTCTGATTTACCATCTTCTAATATACTTGGTACTATTACTTCTTCCTAGATAGTGCAGGGACCATAGAATGCTTTAAATTTATGTATTCTTCTCCCAATTTATGTGCCATTGTTCTCTTATGTTTTAGCTTTTATTTTGAGATAATTTTAGATTCATAGAAAAGTTACAAGAACAGTACAGATCATTCTCATATATGACTTCCCCTTATGGAAACATATAACTATAAGTAATTAAAACAAAGACATTCATGATAATAACTCTCAACAAATTAGATGTGGAAGGGATGTACCTCAACACAATAAAAAATGTATATGTTAAATTCAAAACTAACATCATACTCAGTGGTAAAAAATTGAAAACTTTTCCTCCGAGATCAGGAACAAGACAAGGATGCCCATTCTCACCACTTCTATTCAACACAGTAATGGAAGGTCTAACCATAGCAATTAGGAAAGAGAAAGAAGTAAAAGGCACCCAAACTGGAAAGGAAGAAGCTAAATTGTCCTTGTTTGCAAATGATATGATCTTATATATAGAAAACCCTGAAGACTGCACTAAAAAACTGCTAGAACTAATACATTCAGTAAAGTTCCAAGTTACAAAATCAACAAAACAAAAATTAATAACATCACTATATATTAAAAATGAACTATTCAAAAAAGATTTTTAAAAATCCCATTTACAATAGCTACAAAAAATATATGGGAATAGCCAGGAGCAGTGGCTCATGCCTGTAATCCCAGCACTTTGGAAGGCAGAGGCAAGAGGATCGCCTGAGCCCAGGGGTTCGAGACCAGCCTGGGAAATTTGGTGAGACTTTGTATCTACAATAAATTAAAAAAATTAGCTGGTCTTGGTGGTGCATGCCTGTGGTTCCAGCTACTTGGAAGGTTAAGGTGGAAGGGGCACCTGAGCCCAGCAGGTCAAAGCTGCAGTGCCACTGCACTCCAGCCTGGGCATTAAAGTGAGACTCCTACACACACAAAAACAAGCGTGCCACTGCACTCCAGCCTGGGTATTAGAGTGAGACTCCTACACACAAACAAACAAACAAACAAAAATCTTAAGAATAAATTTAACCAAGGAGGTAAAATACTTGTATACTGAAAACTGTAAAACACTGATGAAAGAAATTGAAGAAGACACAAATAAATGGAAACATATTCCACGTTTATGGCTTAGAAGACTTAATATTGTTAAACTGTTTATACTGCTCTATATCATCTGCAGATTCAATGAGATCCCTATTAAAATTGACATTTTTCACAGAAATCTATAAACAATCATAGGGAAACACAAAAGACCCCAAATAGCCAAAGCAATCTTGAACAAAAAGAAAAAACTGGAGACATCACACTACCTGACTTCAAAATATATTACAAGGCTATAGTTATCAAAACAGAATGGCACTGACATAAAAACAGACACATAGACCAATGTAACAGGATAGAGAGCCCATATTTACAGTCATGCATTTACAGTCAATTGATTTTTGACAAAGGTGCCAAGAACAAACAATGGAGAAAGGATAATCTTTTCCATAAATGGTGTTGAAACAACTGAATATCCACATGCAGAAAAATGAACTTGACCCTTATCCTGCATTGTATACAATAATAAACTTAAGATGGATTAGAGACTTAAATGTAAGACCTGAAACTATAAAATTACTAGAAGAAAACAGAAAAATCTTCATGATATTGGTTTGGGCAATTATTTTTCAAAATTTGATCCCCAAGATACAGGCAACATTAGCTGCTTGAAAAGCATTAGAAGTGGTGACATCCCAGTGGCAATGAGCACACTTAGCTCCCATATCTTCTTCTGTTCCAGAATCCAGCCCAGTATACCACATGGCATGTAATTATTGCATCGTCTTAGCCTCTTCCAGTGTGTGATGGCTCCTTAGTCATTTCTTGTCTTTCATGATCTTGACAGTTGTAAAAATCCTGTTTATTTTATAGAGTGTCTTTCATTTTGAGTTTGGTATTTTCTCGTGATTAGATTAGGGTTATGCATTATTGAGAAGGATATCACAGAAGTGTTTTCCTCTTCTTAGTACTTCATATCAGGAGATAAGTGTTGTTTTATGTACTGGAGATGTTAACCATGATCACTTGGTTAAGATGGTATCTGCCAGGATTCTCTACTGCAAAGTTACTATTTTTTTCTTTGCAACTACTAGTATTTTAGGTGAGATACTCTGAGACCATGCAAATACTTGTTTTTGTTTAAACTGCTACTCACTAATCTGAGCATCCATTGTTGGATCTTCCCTACAAGAGTCATTGCTGTGTCTTCTTCCCCATTTATTTGCTTATTTAATCATTTCTGTAGATTTCTGACTTAGTACATTTGTGCTGCTATAACAGAATACCCGAGACCAGGTAATTTGTAAAGACAAGAAATTTCTTTCTCACAGTTCTGGGGACTGGCTTCTGGTAAGGGCCTTCAAGGTGTGTCCTCAGATGGTGGAAGGCAGAAGGGCAAAAGGAGATGAACACTGTGTCCTTACATGTCAGAAGAACAGAAGAGAGTGAATTGATTCCCAAAAGCAGCATTAATTCATTCATGAGAATGGAGCTCTCATGACTTCAGCACCTGCCATTAGGCCCCACCTCCCAACACTTGCATTGGGGATTAAGTTCCAACATTCATTTTTGGAAGGAACAAAAATATTCAAACCATAGCAGTCATCATAAACTCATGGCTATTTGTTTTAATCTCTTTGCTATAATTCAGCATTTTAAAATTTATTTTGCTGCTCCAGTTGTTTCAACTTTGTCCACTTAAAACTTTTTCAGATAGTCTCTTGTGCCCTTTCAACATGCCTCCATATATATACACATATATTTGTCTATATAACATATACATATTTGGCATATATATTATATATTTGGCATATATATGTATATATACACACACACACATTGTTTTGGCATTTTGTTACTTTCTGCCACCAAAAGATGCTCCAGGCTCATCTTATATTTTCTCTGCCTCAGCCCTAGAATCAATCACATCTCCTAGGAGCCCTGGTTATTTAAAATTGGAGAATGTTATTTGGAAATAAGGTATAGGAATTAAGTGTGCTCATTGCTACTGGGGTGTCACCACTTCTAGTGCTTTTCAAGTAGCTGATGCTAGGGAAAATTTTTAAAAATTATATATGTGTATACAAGCATACACACATTTATTTTTGTTTCTGTACACACACACACACATATATATATAAACAAAATGAGTCTATATTGTTAACTCCAACTCTAGTTCAATACCACAGGTTTTACTTTAGACTTTCCTTTTGCTTATTTTACCTTATCTCTCCAACTGTAAGAAACCTGACTTGCATTACCTACAATATATTGATTTGTTTGCATCTAGTATACAAAGTAGCTTCAGAGTTTTAATTCAAGCCCTCTTGAGAAATAAATTTTTCC